AGCTCGTGCAGGGCCTCCTGGCGGAGAATCCTGCCAGGACAGCACAGGACTGCCTGGCGGCCCTGATCCAGGTGTTTGTAGACAGCGAGTCCCAGGCGACCATCCAGGTGAAGTGTCTGACCGCTCAGCAGCGGTCAGGCGAGCGTCTCTCTGCTTTCGTGTTGAGGCTGGAAGTCCTGCTGCAGAAAGCCATCGAGAAAGGGGGCCTGGCCGGAGCCTCAGCCGACCACGTGCGCCTGAGGCAGGTGCTCACCAGGGCCAACCTTATTGAGCTGCTGGATGAAGCGCTGAGGAAGCTGAGAATGGTTGGGAGGTCTCCAAGTTTCCTGGAGATGCTGGGGCTCGTTCGGGACTCTGAGGCATCAGAGGCCAGTCTAGCCAGGAGCAAGAGAGCCCAGGCAGAGGAAGGGGCTGGTGCCCGGGCCAATGCCCAGGCTGATGCTGGAGCCAATGCTAAGGCAGAGGATGACAAGGTGGAGGAGAAGGAGCAGGAGGAGCCGGAGGAGGAGGACGGTGACAACCATGACCCCGCCCCTTCAGGCCTACCTCAGGCAGGACCCTCAGAGGCCCCCGGGGGCCCCACCCCCACCCAGATGGGCAGTGCTTCCGGGGCGGGCCCAGGAGGTCCTGGCAGTGAGCCAGAGGGCCGCACCCAGGCAGGAGAACAGGAGGCCAAGAAGCCCCCCGAGGAGGGGCTCAAGCCCATCCAGGAGGAGTTGGGAAGCAAGGACGGGGCTGGGGAGATGAGCCCCTCCAAGTCCTCTCCTCTTACAATGCCTTTGTCTGTTTTTTGTATAGGGCTAATGTTTGACTCATAGATTGCCAAGGTACAATGTATTTGGAACAAACTATTATCTGTTAGGTCAATTAAGAATCAGAAATATAAAAGGTTTTTATTTTACATTCACACTCAGAACTACATTAAGAAGCATTGGAGCATAAAGAGCATTGGAAAAGGACATTTCTTTCAAGGCAGGTCTACTGGGAACAAATTCCTTCAATTTTTGTTTGTCTGAGAAAGTCTTTATCTCTCCTTCACTTTTGAAGGACAATTTCACAGGGTACAGAATTCTAGGTTGATGGGTTTTTTCTCTCAACACTTTAAATATTTCACTCCACTGTCTTCTTGCTTGCATGGTTTCTGAGCAGAAGTCAGTTGTAATTCTTATCTTTGCTCCTCCATAGGTTGTTTTTTTTTCCTCTGGCTTCTTTCAGGAGTCTGTCTTTATTTTTGATTTTCTGTAATTTTAAAGTGATATGCCTAGTTATGGTTTTGTTTTGTTTGTCTATTTTACCTTTAGCCTGCTTGATGTTCTCTGAGTTTCCTCAATCTGTGGTGAGATGTCTGACATTAATTTGGGGCAAGAAAAGAAAACTACAGACCTAACCCATCATCTATGTAGAAAATCTGAAAAAATTGGAGAAAAAGAAAAAGAAAAACCCTGGAATTAATAAGCGATTAATGCAAGGTTGCAGGATACAAGCTGTTACACAAAAGTCAATTGCTTTCCTATATACCAATGATGAACAAGTAGAATTTGAAATTACAAACACGACACCATTTACATTAGCACACTCGCCCCCCAAAAAGAGATACTTAGGTATAAATCTTAACAAAATATATACAAGATCTATATGAGGAAAACTACCAGACTCTCATGAACAAAATCAAAGAACTACTAAATACATGCAGAGATTTTCAATGTTCGTGGATAGGAAGACTCAACATTGTCAAGATGTCGTGAGGGCCGTGCCTACAGCCTCCTTGGTCCGATGGGGCTTGGCTGATCCTCCAGGTGTGTCTCACTGTGCTGTGGGCTACTGCGGTTGCAAGGATAGCTGCTGCTCTAGGGCTCCCTTCCACTCTACGGTTGACCTGGCCGCGTCTGAACTGGGCCTTCAACAGACACTGAGGTAGTTTGGGTTTCATGCCATGGGGTCAAGGACCATGTTGCATCTTGAGTAGGGCAAGAGTGGCTCCACTGTGGGATGCTTGGGCTGGTCCCCCCAGTATTTCCTCCCCACTGGCAAGGCATAAGCACTGTGGAAACCTCACCTGGCCCACCCTCCATCCCTTAGCCATCACACACCCCCAGGTCCCCAAAAGTCCCTCAGTGGCTAGACAGAGGCCGGCCACTTGTTGGCTGGCAGGGGTAGGCTGATCATGGGTGGGTGGGCAAACACCCCTGACCCCGGACTTCTGCACCCAGTTCCTGGCAGGGGCGTCTGACCTCACGCCCGGGCCCTTCTGTGGCCGGCTGGTCTCCGGGATGGCACATGTGACCACTCTGACCCACCCGAGCTCCTATGGCGTTGCCAGGGATCCTGGAGCCTTAGACCCTGCATGTTGTCCATCCCCCTCCCTTCAAAGTCTGACCTAATTATTCCTGAGGGCACAGGGAGTTTCCTGGGGACCCAACCAGCCACTGTCCATGCTCACAAGTTCCTGTCACCTGGCTCCATTGAGCCCAGGGGACCACACAGCCCCTCTTGGACCCTGCCCTGATCATACCCCAAGGCCGACTCCGGAACCAGGCCACTGTTGCCCCCCAACCCACACCCCCAGCACACCCTTCCCTCAAATGCCCACAGCAGAGGCAACACTCAGCTGAAACAGTCAATGAAATTTATTGAAGAGAATCCTTTACTGAAACCATTGAAGAGAAGTGAATGACAACACAGAGAGGAACTTGTAACGGCCTAAACAGTCCATAGGTCTCGGAGCCACCCCCATCCCGGGGTCACTAACAGGTGCATCAGCTACCCTGCAGGCTTCGGCCCTCCCACCATAGTCTCCCTTTTTGGGGGCCACACGATCAGCCTCTTGCCAGGACGATGGATGCTGGCAATGTCCTCTCACTCCAGGGCACCCCCTCCCACTCTGGCTGACATGCTGGGGCGGGGCCCTGCCCTATGGCCCATGCCGGACAGTCACAGGACGCTGGAAAACACGGTAGGGGACACTCCACCAAGCCCAGGAAACTGAGCTACAAGAACAACAGGTTGGCACATCAGAGCACAGTCCCAGTGGAGCCTCCTACAGCCTCCCTCCGTGCCCCTGCTCCTTTTCTTCCTTCCCGAAGTCACGGGGTGAGCGCCGGCAGAGCCCTCCTCTGTCCATCCTTCCCGGCATCTCCTGGGCCTGGGCTCGGGGGTCTCTGGGGTGGGGTGGTGGGGGAACTGCTCAGATAAGCACACACACATCTCCACGAGAACAAGCAGCGGTTGGCCTGAATCTACACCAAGAAAGCAGAGTTGAGCTCACGGCACTGGACGAGAGCGCACAGGGCCTTGGCAGGCACTGAAGCTCACAGCACGTGCTGGGGCTGAGAGGGGGCTGGCCCAGTAGGCCAGGACACCCAGCCCAGGTTCACGCACGCCTCACAGTGCTGCACAGAAATGATGGCGAGTGTTGGGATGGGGGTGTCGGAGGGGATTACTTGTCACCTGGCTCACCAGAGGGTGGTGAGCCCAGAGACACAAGTGGGCTACCCAGAACAGGGAGCAGCCTGCCCCAGGGGACGGTGAATAGGGGTCTCCCTCTCGGGAGGCCCAGGTGGCTGGCACCCTTGAGATGACCCCTAACGTCTCCTAGGCCAGTGCAGATGGCAGTCGTCTTCAGGTGCTCCTCACCTAACCCAGGGCCGCCGCTCGGGGGATCTTCCAGGCCAGGTGCCTGAGTTGGCAGGGGTTGGGGTTGGGGCTGGGGCTGGAAGTGGTCCTGCCATGGGGGGACACCTCTCCCCTCCCCATTTGGGGTCACACATGGTCATCTAGCTCACTTGGAATGGCTGATAGTGGTGGTCAGGGACCCTTGGGGATTGTTGGGGGCCGGGGGCTTGGTTTGGGCGGAGCGGGCCCCTCCCTTGGCCCCGCTCCCCATGTAGGGTACTGTGGCTGCCCTGGCCTGGCCTCCCCCTGCCTCCAGGGCTCTGCTGCCCAAGAGGAGAGAGGGCCCTGGGCCTTCTGAGCCTATCAGCCCAAGGAGGACTTGGAGGGGCTCATCTCCCCAGCCCCGTCCTTGCTTCCCAACTCCTCCTGGATGGGCTTGAGCCCCTCCTCGGGGGGCTTCTTGGCCTCCTGTTCTCCTGCCTGGGTGCGGCCCTCTGGCTCACTGCCAGGACCTCCTGGGCCCGCCCCGGAAGCACTGCCCATCTGGGTGGGGGTGGGGCCCCCGGGGGCCTCTGAGGGTCCTGCCTGAGGTAGGCCTGAAGGGGCGGGGTCATGGTTGTCACCGTCCTCCTCCTCCGGCTCCTCCTGCTCCTTCTCCTCCACCTTGTCATCCTCTGCCTTAGCATTGGCTCCAGCATCAGCCTGGGCATTGGCCCGGGCACCAGCCCCTTCCTCTGCCTGGGCTCTCTTGCTCCTGGCTAGACTGGCCTCTGATGCCTCAGAGTCCCGAACGAGCCCCAGCATCTCCAGGAAACTTGGAGACCTCCCAACCATTCTCAGCTTCCTCAGCGCTTCATCCAGCAGCTCAATAAGGTTGGCCCTGGTGAGCACCTGCCTCAGGCGCACGTGGTCGGCTGAGGCTCCGGCCAGGCCCCCTTTCTCGATGGCTTTCTGCAGCAGGACTTCCAGCCTCAACACGAAAGCAGAGAGACGCTCGCCTGACCGCTGCTGAGCGGTCAGACACTTCACCTGGATGGTCGCCTGGGACTCGCTGTCTACAAACACCTGGATCAGGGCCGCCAGGCAGTCCTGTGCTGTCCTGGCAGGATTCTCCGCCAGGAGGCCCTGCACGAGCTGCAGGGCAGTCCCTCGAAGGCCTTCCATCAGCCTCCTCCTCCTCTCCCTTTCAGAGACCCCCTGCCACACATGCAGCATGTCAGCCGTGTGGTCGAGCCAGGCCTCAAAGGACTCTTCCCCCCGGGGGCCGCCTGGTCCCTCCCGGAAAACACGCCCAGGCGCTGGTATCCCATGGTCTCCACCCAAGGCCGGACCGCCTGAATGACCAATCAGAGCCAGCACACCCTGCGCAGCCCCAGCCCCAGGGCGCCGTCCACGCTCTCCACCGTCTGCCCCTGTTGCTCCAGGAAGTGGAACACATGACCGAGAAACTCCTCACCTGAGCAATGGGGCACAAAGACCATGTTCCAGGGACCCCCGGTGCCTGAGATTTCCCTGGGGACCAAAGCATAGCTGACTTCCCAGGTCACCTGGTCCCAGCTCGACCAGGGCCGCAGTGGCATTATCCTCCTCTCGAAACACTTTGCCCAGCACAGTAAAGTGGCCCATGGGCCACAGGGCAGCCTCCAGAGACTCTTGGAGTTCGGCTTCATCACAGTCCTCTGGGATGCCCAGGATGAGCAGTCCCTTGCGAGCGCTGACGCCCATCCACCTGCACCAGTCCTGCAGCATCGTCACCGCCATCGCCCGCTATTTCCTCTGGTGCGGATCTAACACCAGGGGCAGGAAACGGATCCTGGCACAGACCAGGCTGCCAGGGGACGGCGGGGGGCGGGGGGGGG